AGTGCATAAAAGTATTGTATTGCCCGAAACACGGTGACCGAGTTTAAACGTGTCCAGTTTGAACTGTACGGCTTGATAATATCAAGTTGATATGCTACCCGAAAAAAGCAGAAACGGCAAGTGGAGTTACGGCCATGGCGAGCAACACGGCTGTCCTCTAGCACCGAAAAATGGTTCACTTCAGAGTAAGGGCAGAAGAGGGTGTGAAGTTCACACGAGAAAGCTCCACCCTATGAACCTTTGCCGTCTATTAGTTCTGAACTTCACACTAATGCTTCTCACAATCCCATAGAACCCCCAGACCGAAACTACGGGGGTCTATACCCGATATCTAAGCTAGGACCCTCGCTGAGCTATCCGCCATGCGTACACGGTTGGCTACACACAGCAGGGATATGCAGCTTGCGTCGCTGTTGTGCATAGCCGAAGGCGCAACCTGTAGGTTTGAACATTTACGAGGCAGTGCGGACCGAGGTCCTAGCTATCGTGATCGCTTTCAGGTTAGTCGCGGACAGCGTCCCGGCTCCCAGTCCACAAGGTTTGAGGTTTCACAGGATACAAAGGGTTGGGGCTGTAGTGTGTTGTGGTGGTTGTGGCTATGCACGTAACGGTGGGAGACCCACGCCCTCGATAGAGATGCCTGTAAGCTAGGAGCGAACAGGAATAAACTAGCCAAGGTGAATAAATCAACAGTGTAGCCTATGGATACATGATAACAGTATTGAATACACATCAATGGAAGGAGTAGCAATGCAATTATAGCATCACAGCGACGCCGAATAGACAACATGCCGTGAAGCATCAATATTGTGTCCACAGAGCAAACATATCACACGCGTTCCAAATCGGATTTCATTTGAAGTTAAAGAAGAAAGTTCCATCAGTGTCAGTGAAAAAGCATACCACGGAGTGGAATAGACTCGATCCTCGTCACTGCATATGCTCATATCTGCCGTGGTCTAACCACAAAGCATATGAATTCAACAATACCGATTATTGTGCGCTCTGTTGGATGCAAGTTCCCGTTATGTGGTTGGTCGCAACGTCCCATGAGCGCTTGGTACGAAGTTTACCTCTCAACTTTGCCACACTATGGCAGCACTCGAAAACATACGATCTGTAGGAGTCCTCTCGAAAGGGTTGTAGAGCAAAATTCGGGCTTTCGACGTCGCCGAGATACCTCAATAACATACATGCATGGTGACGAGGTATGTCCTATCAGTACTCGACGACGTCCATCTTGGAAGCTTCCTCAATATAGACTTTATTGGGATGTTTGACTAGGTTACTGAATCAAACCCAACTCCCCTGAATGAGAGATAAGAAATGTAACTTGTGATATTTACAGACCTAGAACGGCGCGTGTACTCGCGATAATATGAATATCCACTTACAGGCCAATATAAGTCTTGTATAGAGCATCATCTTAACAAGACCAGATATGATCACATGAGGAAGGATTTCTATTCAGTAGATGATCTGAGATTTGATCATCTAAGTTTAATATTTATGTAAAGCACATTAACGTGAAGACGTTGTGCAAAATCTATTATGAACATTTTTTCGACGAGTCCCGTCGAGGGAAAACAATCAATGCAACTTTAGTCACATTGACAAGGAAGGCTAGTTGACGAACATACACTTGGCGATGCCCAATATTTACAGTAGCTTCCTGCATATTCGGAGTCGCAGAAAGCATCACATTTCAAGACCGATGGGGCCGAAGTGGTGAAAACCATAGTAGGGGAAACCGTTGATGGTGGCGGATGGGCTGTAGTTTGACCACATGAACAGGGGACATTAGTTCCTGAGCAAACACTAGGAACCTGCCAGTACTTGCAGAAGCTACCACTGCTCGTCTTGTCGCAGAAGGCATCACAAGTAGCACTTCCGGTAGTGGTAGTGCTGGCACCAGAAGATGATGGAGATGTTGTGGTCGTCTTGGTAGAGACAGTTGCTGTTGTTGTTGTCCGGGTAGATGCAGTTGATGTGATAGGATCATCGCATGAACAGGGGATATCGGTTCCATGACAGACTGGAGGATAAAGCCAAGTCTTGCAATAGCTCCCCTTGTAGAACGAATCACACATAGCGTTAGCGGTCGTACAGTCACCATGATTAGCTGGAGTCGTCGAAGAAGTAGCGGTAGGCGTAGTAGTCGTGGTGGTAGTCGTGGTGGTAGTTGTGGTGGATGGCGTAGTAGTCGTGGTGGTAGTCGTGGTGGTAGTTGTGGTGGATGGCGTAGTAGTCGTGGTGGTAGTTGTGGTGGTAGTTGTGGTGGTAGTTGTGGTGGATGGCGTAGTAGTCGTGGTGGTAGTTGTCGTAGATGCCGTAGTAGTCGTGGTGGTTGTTGTGGTAGATGGCGTAGTAGTCGTGGTGGTAGTTGTGGTGGTAGTTGTGGTGGATGGCGTAGTAGTTGTGGTGGTAGTTGTCGTAGATGCCGTAGTAGTCGTGGTGGTAGTTGTCGTAGATGCCGTAGTAGTCGTGGTGGTTGTTGTGGTAGATGGCGTAGTAGTCGTGGTGGTAGTTGTGGTGGTAGTTGTGGTGGTAGTTGTGGTGGATGGCGTAGTAGTCGTGGTGGTAGTTGTAGTAGATGGCGTAGTAGTCGTGGTGGTAGTTGTGGTGGTAGTTGTGGTGGTAGTTGTGGTGGTAGTTGTGGTGGATGGCGTAGTAGTCGTGGTGGTAGTTGTAGTAGAGGGCGTAGTAGTCGTGGTGGTTGTTGTAGTAGATGGCGTAGTAGTCGTGGTGGTAGTTGTAGTAGAGGGCGTAGTAGTCGTGGTGGTAGTTGTAGTAGATGGCGTAGTAGTCGTGGTGGTTGTTGTGGTAGATGGCGTAGTAGTCGCGGTGGTTGTTGTGGTAGATGTTGTAGTTGTGGTAGTCGTAGTAGATGGCATAGTCGTTGTAGTTGTAGTGATGCACAGAACGTTGGGGCAACTCAACGCTCTATTTGCCCACTGTACGAATCTGTCTCCACCAAAATCCCATATCATAAGCCTGCCACTATAGTCCATGCGCACCGCTCCGCTACCTGCATTGACGAGCTGATTCTTAGCAGGACCGACCCCGCAACCCCCAGCAATGATGATGGGCTCATTGCAGGGAGAATTCACACAATGCTTGTACACTGCATTGTCAGAGCTTCTGTAATAGATGTATTGCTGCGTAACATCGGCCACATAGAAACCCATCCGGCCTTTGACGAAGAAGTGGTAGACGAACGTTCGCTGACTCTTGCCAGGTGTCCACCTCACGATATGGCCTCCTTCAGAGGAACCTTGTAGAATGTACAGATCGCCGTCGGCAAACTTGACTCCCTCTGGATGGTAAAGATGAGTTCCATCATCAACAGCCTTACCATCGGGATTACCAGCAACAAGCTTCCGAGGGTAACCATAAGTAGTTGGATCGAAACGATACACCTGATTCATTTTCTTGTCGGTCACGTACAGGAATTTAGCCGAGTTGTCAAAGACCAGACCGGCTAATTCGTTATTAGCGAGACCCTTCCGAATGACGACGTAGTCGCCCTCATAAGGCGCCCGACGGTTCCCGGGTGTACCGTACATACGAATCTCATTGTTGACGATGGCAAACACGTACGTGGAGCTAGAGGAGTGGTAGACATCGATTGACGATGTTTCGGCAACGAATATCTCATCCGTCTTCTTAAGACTATACGCGATCTTCCACACCTTATGCTGCTGAGTCTTCTTCTCCACACCAGCGAGATACCAATTGCCAGTTCTGTCGAAGGCGTAGTCAACCATCTCAATCCCTCCAGGTGGTAGGAAGCCCTCACCGGTGGCTTCTGACGAATAAATATACTTGGCGGCGTGGTTGGAGCACCAGTCATCACTAGTGAAGCTGCTCACACTCCCAACCAGAGTTGCAATGACACTCAGTATCAAACAGAGGAGCATAATTTCAAGTTGGTAGTGATCGTTAGGCTATACAGAGAGAAAGTCACACAGCTGTAGCATAGCTTCCGGGTAGGAGACAGTTTGCACAGGTTCCGACGCGGAAGGCACAATTGTTATAGCCAACACAATCTGTCCCATTTGTGGTGTCTTATTTTCAGCTGTCCCACTACTGAGCTAAGTTATCATTTTTCTGCTAATGATTGTGTGCTACTCTCCCTATTTCCTATAGAATACGGATATGCTCCGTGTTGGCTTGATATTCTACTTTTTGCAGAATTGCTCTCGTGGCACGATCCACTATTTCGGTAGAGAGTCTACGTTGAATCCACAGAAGATTTATCAAAATTAACCGATTTGCGAATGCCGAAATCCCATAGAGGACCATTCCTAATGCATCACGGCATCGTCGTAGCTCAACAGGAAGTGGAAACGAACGCGTCTCAGACGCCAGCCCTTCGGAACGCAGTGGAGACGTTAAATACGAGCCCTGTTCTGTCTTGGCAAGACTTCCCGGAGATTCCGCTGAGATGATATTTGATAGTCGTAACAACTCTACGAATGCTGCCGAGACTTGGGAAGCTGATGCGGCCGAGAATAATGGACAATGGGAGGGTCCATTAAGGTTTCGAAGACGATGATCCGTGGGTCGTACAATGACGCTAAAGGGTTACGAGAAGCATCTGGCAGACCTTCCCTAGATCGGAAAAAGTGGTCATCGACTTTATTACCGTGACGATCGTCTCGAAGGATTCAGAGTAAGTGATAAGTAAGAAGGTAAGACAAGAAAACATACGATAGAAAACATACCTCAAACTCTAAGTGGAGTGGAACAACTTATGATGTTATTTCATTTAAAGGACGAGTTCTCCAGAAAGATATTGGGAATAGTTACGTTAAGTAGATTAAGTACATTTGGTGAATGAATAATATCTTTCTCAACAGGTTTCAAAGAAAGTATGTTCATCCAGTGATTGGTAGATTGGTAACAATGTGCTGTATGTGCTATAGCCAGCAATAGTCAATGTGCTAGACAGCTTCGTTTGAAGTTCCAAACTTGACAATTTGTGTTAATATAAGGTGTTGTCTACCGTGTAGGAGATCTCCTGTGATAGTACACAAACCTGATGCTATTGAGCTGTCCTTCTAGCGCCCCCCGCGCTACAGTTCTGTAAAACTCCATACTATTAACTTAATAATTACTTAATAGTATTAAGTTCACGGAACAAGTTCTTAATTTCACTAATCCCTGATGTCGTCGAATTTTAGAGGCCATGATTACGGGGCTACAGGTGACATTAACGACTGCGACGGAAGTCGGCTACGTCCATACCGTCAACGACGCAACTCATGCAAGTTATATGAAATGCTGTCACATTTTACCAACTGTTACTTTCGGAAATTGAGTCCACGAATAAACATCCTGCGAATAGGTTCGAAAATAAGAGCTGGAGAGTGATTGACACCAATGACAGAAAAAAAAGCGACGGCTGACTAACCGTAGATAACCTTCTTGACTTCGTCGTAGAGCACAAGTACCAGAGCGGCACCAGCACCACGGAGAACGTTGGAAAATGCGCCCTTGAAAAAACCTCTTGAACCTTCCTGTTGGTAGACCTTTTTCCAGCAGTCGAGAGTACCGGTGTATTGGATAGCATCACCACCCTTTCGACCAGCCATCATCATCATACGTCTACGGACTGTGTCGAAGGGATAAGAGGCGACACCAGAGGCCGCGGTGACAGCCTGGGCAACCATGAACTTGAGAATGATATTAGCATTCTTCTCGTCGGCAAAAATGACGCTCTTGACCGAATCATAGAGTCCGAAGTAAGCTCCACGGTAAACGATAATTCCTTGTACAGAAACACCGAACCCTTGATAGAGAGAAAAATAGCCGGTGCGGCTAGCGGTCTTGGAAAGGCAGTTCCAGAGGCCGGTGAACTCCCTATCGGCTCCCTTGCCAACGTCGGCGGCCAGACGAGTACGAGCGAAGTCGAGGGGGTAGACGATACACAAGGAAGCGGCGCCCGCCATACCGCCAGAAGCGACGTTAGCGGCGAAAAAGGACCAAAACTCCGTCTTGGGGTCGTACTTGGGGAACATCCGCTTGAAGTTGTCCTTAAAGGCGAAGTTGAACGCTTGTGTGGGGAAGTAACGGATAACGTTTGCCATGTTACCACGCCAGAGCGTCCAGAAGCCCTGCTCACTGGCAACGCGACTAAAGCAGTTGCCAATACCGGTGTAGCGAGCTACCTTACCCGATTGGATGTCGGGATTGGAGTCCTGAGTCTGGAGGAGCATCTTAACACGCTCTATGGGGGCAACAAGGGTCTTGGAAATACCGGCAGCGGTACCACCAGCGGCCCAATCTACCAGAATAGGATACTTGTTCACGAAGGAAACCTCCTCCGATTGCTTCTTATCAGCAGACATGTAGAAAAATGACTATGTTACTGAGAATGTTGATATAACTTTCGAAAACAAATCTGTCCATGAACGGCGATTCGGTAACCTTCAAGCGAAGCCATTCCTAACGACAATTTCTTGCCTCACACGAGCTCATATGTGTTCGACCTCCTCATCCCACCGTGAGCGTACCGCGAGAATGCATCGGTGTCAGCAAGGTTTTCCTAGTGAATTAATACCTCTGGCGTACGTGCTGACGAGCAAAATTGACGTCATTTTTATGGCGATCGCCAAGTCAATGTGCTTGCGTGTAACCGCTCAGCGCACTCAACATGCCTGAAGAAGCTGCCTTTGTTAAAAGTTATCGCTGGGTTCCGTTGAGTTTGTTAGATCGACTCACTGTGTGTTGGTACGGACTAGTGTGGGGAAATATGCACATGGTCATATTTTGGTGACAATATGAAACTTCTGGGAGGAAATTTTGGGAAATCCTTCTATTATAAGTGAGGAAACTTCCAAGCTCAGCTGAGGAAAGAGATCCCATATTCCAACACTGGTAGGGATAATGATGGATAATCAGCTTCTCGAGAAATATGCCCGAAGTATCAATCTTATGAGGAGTCATCCTTTTTTTGTAGTCCCATTGAGCCGTTGCGCAGTATGAAGGTTTTGTGATGAAGGAAGGAAGAAATGTGGAAAGATCACGCGAAGATTCCAAACTCCTTGTATGGTCGACTTGTGCTGTTAAAATGACCGAGCCGGGTTTTGGGGCAGATATGCCACCACAAGAAATCGCCAATTCGCACTGTTTAAAGGACCGAGCCGGGTTTTGGGGCAGATAAGCCACCACAAGAAATCGCCAATTTGCACTGTTAAAAGGACGGAGCCGGCTTTTAAGGCAGATATGCCACCACTAGAGCGCCAATTTGCACTCTTCGAAGGATCTAACCCTGTTTTGGGGCAGATATGCCACCACTAAAACGCGGCAATTTGCATTGTTAGAAGGCCCGATCCCACTTTTGGGGCAGATATGCCGCCACTAGAACGCGGTGCACTATGTCGTCTGCAGAAAATCTGATCACTTTAGATTGCCATTACGAGATGCAGTTTTGGCATACCTGCCCCGTACGGAATATGCCCTTCGACGGCAACGTCTCCCGACATGATGACCCGATCTCTTGCTGTTGATCAAGTCGACTCTGTAGTGGGGCCGGTATGCCATCCCATCACTGCTCTTCTCTGAGAAAGAGTATCTTGAGGTTGACGGAGCAAGATACGGATGAGGCCGGCGGCCAGTCCTGCACGGTGAGAACGAGTGCGTCTACGCTGCATGAGCATATCGTCATGCCTTTCAGTCGATACCTTCAAGCCGGGAAGAGGAAATATCGTATTAAACACATCCCAACCTGCAAGTCCCAGAGTCCCTGGGCCAGGGGTGGTAACTTTCGCAATGCAGAGGACTTTTGCTACTCGTTGACTTCTCACTTTGGTTTTTTCGACGTTTATCCGAAGGCATTACTCCGTTGATGCGATGTTGCGCTCAGTGAGATGCTCATCTGGGTCCCACGCCGGAGATCATCGGCACTATCTCGCGTTCCCAAGGTTATGTTCGCCCAACCTTGATCATGACGTCCAAAGGCACTCCTCGGAAAAGTGCGAAGTACGCCAATCCTCCCAATAGCACTACGCGATATTTCTCCGACAATTTTGAAGGTGGCGTCAGCTCAAATGAGTTCTACCAAGACGGACAAGCAATTCTACCACCGTCGCAACTGGCAGGCGCCGTTCCGGGTTTCGATGGCCTCGGGATCACAGAAGCTAAAGTTGGCGATGTTCTCTTTGAACTGCATAAATTCAGACTGGAATTGGCGCAAGGCATAGCACAAGACTTAGCGGCACATCACAAAAGTATAGTGGATGAAATGAAGACCTTCATAACAGAAATGTTCTCACGGGTGGCTATAGGCGAAGTTGCGCTCACTGAACCGACACCAGAAATAGCGGTGACGCGAGGAGACGATCCTGGAATCGAAAAGTCGACTGCTGTTGACGGCAATGAGAAGGTCTCAGTCAGAAGGGGTTTAGGACAAAGGGAAATTGCTGAAGAGACGGTATCAATTATGAATTTATATAGACTCCACAACAGTTCAGGTAATCAGGAAATCACAGGGCGGGAACACAGACGGACTTGGTGATATCGCAGAGGCAGGAAAACGACCGCAGGTGTTAGACACGATTGGACCCGGCAACGAGGTAGGAGAAATTCACGGATGCCTGGAATTGTCGTGTGACTTTCAGACTGGATCATTTGATTTGAACAGTCCGGAGGAACGGGAGTTGACGGGAAAATCGAGAAAGAGCCGAAAACCCGACCGTAAGTCATTTATATTGATTGGAGTTTCACCACCCTAGTGATATGAAAAACAGTAGTGAAGAATGTATTTCACGACTACTGCATAGTGTGAATATCGGGTTTTCACAGAGTATTACGCCACTTCACGTGAAACGGCTGAACTCCATTGTGTGTCATATTTTCAAGGAGTTCATAATGTGGGTAGAATCTATACATACACTTTACCTGTGTGATTTGTTTACGTACATATACCACGACTTGACCCCTCGTGCCAAAGCTGCCGAGTTCGCAGCCATACTCCTATACTGGCTACTATGTGCTTTGTGGAAGGGGTGCTGTTATAGAAAAAAGATAGAATTTGGTATATCGAAGTTTCACCCGTTTTACGTGAAGTAGCGTAATACTCTGTCAAACACTCCGCGATATTTGCGGTGATATGCAGTAGTCGTGAAATATATTTTTCACTAGTGTTTTCATATCACTAGGGTGGTGAACCTCCAATATTGGAGCGTTCATCGGGTTGGGTACCTCTGCCGGTGATTCAGTGGTGAAATACTCGGCCAACAATGACGATACCAAGCTTATTAGTGAGTCGAAGCCGCAAGCCATTCACAAGGCTTCCACCAAATCGATGGTAGCGTTCAGCCCAGAGGAAGTTGCGAGAAATGAACAAGGTGAGCCTTAGGAAAAAGGAATGCTATTGTGGTTGAGTTAGCTCATTGGAGTTTTACGCGTTTTACATGAACTGAGATGTGGAATATGTTCTTCACTAGTGTTTTTCATATCACGGGGGGAAACTACGTTCTATAGAGGATCAGTCGAAAAAGGAGCATTTCCACAATAAGTGGCTATCGTTCATCACTCTGATATAAAATGACGATTATGCAAATGGGCACTGCCAGCAGTATGGGAAAATATACACATCGTTGACTACATGTGTCGGTGACAATATGAAAATTCTTAGGAAATTCTTATTGGTTGCTAAACACTTCTACCCATTCCGTATATGAACTCCTGAGCTTTAGTGAGAGGAGCAAACATGTATTCATTCAACACTGATTCCTTTGCGTCTCGCTAAAATGACATGACATATTCTCGGAATTCTACTTGGGAAGTGGCGCAGTGTTGTCTCGAAAGGTTACTTTTATCACATCACATGTTCATAGCAATGTTTACATTGTTTATGCGATATAGTTTTAGATCGGTTTCTATTAGTCTCGGAAAATAATACATATTTGCATATCAAATTGACACGTACTGTAGAATCGATAAGCTGATACGATAATAAAATCCCATTTTATGTAGTAGTAGTAGTAGTAGTAGTAGTAGTAGTAGTAGTGGTTGTAGTAGTAGTAGTAGTAGTAGTAGTAGTAGTAGCAGTAGTAGTAGTAGTAGTAGTAGTAGTAGTAGTCCTTGATGTAGGTTTGAATCCTCCGATAGTGAAGTCAGCACTAGAGGCACTCGTAGTGAAGTACACCATGGCTCGACAACCAAAACAAGGTAAAGCCATAATAACTTGAAAAGTGGCCATTTTATGGTAGCGCCTTCTACTGGCATATCACCACGTTATGGGCCTAAGAGTAACGTACGTGGCAATAGTGGAAAATTGATGGTGATAGAAATTTGTTTGAATTGAAGTGGGGACAGTCGATTTTGATCAGGTTGATAAAACTCAGTCACTTGCTCATATCACGGTTGATGAACATGTGAAGAATCTTAGTACTGATCATGCTTCGCAGTCGACTATGCAAGGTAACGATTCTCATTCTTGTTGTTGTTCATGTTGTTTATGCTGTTGTTTATGCTGTTGTTTATGCTGTTGTTCATGCTGTTGTTCATGTTGTTGTTGTTGCTGCTGTTGCTGCTGTTGCCGCTGCTGTTGCTTGCTGTTGTTGTTGTTGTTGTTGTTGTTGTTGTTGTTGTTGCTGCTGTTGTTTTTGTTGTTGTTGTTGTTTTTGTTATTGTTGTTGTTGTTGTTGTTGTTGCTGCTGTTGCTGTTGCTGTTGTTGTTGTTGTTGTTGTTGTTGTTGTTGTTGTTGTTGTTGCTGTTGTTTTTGTTGTTGTTTTTGTTGTTGTTTTTGTTGTTGTTGTTGTTGTTGTTGTTGTTGTTGTTGTTGTTGTTGTTGCTGTTGTTGTTTTCCCCATCATGGTATGTAGGTTCGGTCCGATGGGCCATTTACCCCGATGGTGGGTTCAGACTTGCCTGGGATGTCACTGGTCTCCTCTTCATCATCTATCAGGGTTTCATAGTAAAACACAACTTCCGCCTCCGTGTGTATTTTCTGTCGTCATCGAAGGTTCCCTTTACGCTGAGTTTCGAGACGGAGTTACTCGGCTTACTGGCGGACTTTGATCGGTGCATCGACTTGTATTTCATCTCTGATATTGCGCTCAATTTTGTCACGGGTTACTGGAATAGAGGGGTAAGCAGTGCGACACTAGATGTTGGTGTTAGTTTGGTAGGGAAATATAGTATTTTCGGCGTTGTTCTTGGAGAATACATCGTCGGAATTTTTTACGAGCGTTTATGTGAGAGTGTTGGGATTTCGCCTCTTGTTTAGATAGGTATTCTCATTCCTGATAGGCGTTGATTCGATCGGTAACATTGCTTAACCCGTTTGACGTGAAGTGGCGTAATACTCCATGAAAAACGCGGTGATATGCAGTAGTCGTGAAATATATTTTTCACTAGTGTTTTTCATGTCACTAGGGCGGTGAAACTCCAATAGGATAACAATATCATCCAGTATTGGAGGAATTCATGTTCGCTTTCCTCATCTGAGCTCAGCAGTTTTCTCACTGGCTATGGCAGTTTCGGTTAGAAGTGTTCGAAGACCAATAACAATTTCCTGAAAATTCTCATAATTGTCAGCGGCACATGTAGTTGACCATGTGCATATTTCCCCCCACACTGATCAGGTACTCAGTTTGAAACATCGCGAGATAGCGGTACACTATGCTAGGACGTGGTTATTGTTGGACACAGTGTCATCACTACCCTTTAGTTGGTTTATCAATCCAGGTCGGTCGAAACGCCTTGTATTGATTTTACGTTTTCCTCATCAGAAAATGAAGATCAAACCGTCACTCACATTCACAGAGTCGTGAAAGTCGTCAAATTCACCCGTACGAGTTTCTCTAATATCTTTTTATATAATCTTCCTTTCTTAGGTCTTGCTCGCTTACTTCGTCTACTACGATTGAATGTATTGTTGATGAAATTAGAAGAACACATTGACTCGGATGTGTGGTTGGCGACGTTTATTCTCATCAAGATGTTTTTGGGCCTCTTCGTATTAAGCCACTGGCTTGCCTGCGTTTGGTGGTCTATTGGAGTCGCTCATGAAGATTCGGAGACAAATTGGATCAGAGATAATCAACTGGACGAAGAAGGTCATTTTGCTACGAAGTAATAAATCGATCACTTGGGCGCAGCGAGATTTGCATACACCCTTTTAGGTATTTACGATCTTTGTTTTATGCTATTTCGATTGTGTCTACGATGTATGGTGATGTTATCGCTGCGAATGATGGGGAGAGGATCTTCACGATGTTCGCGATGTTGGCTGCTGGGGTTGTTTTTGCCGTGGTCGTTGGTGAGAATTTCGTGGCGCGTGACGTTTTTATATGATATAGGTTCGGTGACTAATTTGGTGGTTTCATTCGGTGAGTATAAAACCGAGTATCGTCAGCGAATGAAGAGAGCAATGCGATTCATGAGAGCTCATAATGTTGAACCAGATCTACAGGTAGGTTGGGGGGGAAGAAATTTATTGCGAAAAATGATGTTCAAAATTAGTAAAATTATACATCTCATGGATGGAGATATGTATGGGTATATTGGAGTTTCACCACCCTAGTGATAAAAGTGCAAAAAAATATTTCACGACTACTACATATAACCGCGAATAAAATCGTGTTTTTCACATAGTATTACGCCACTTCACGTGAAACGGATAAAAATCCATGGTATATTGGCGTTGGTGAATTACCGATGCAACGACTATCAATTTGTAAATTTCTCGGTACTTGGAAATTGCTGTGAAATACGCAGTACTCAGGTGAAGATCAGAAGGTATATCGAACATCTTCTCGACAACCAATTCGAATTCAAGTCTAAGTCGGAGCTCATGACGATGGTAGGTGAAATTGTTATACCATAATTCGACAACATCGTGTGTGTCAGCTGTCAGAGTCATTACAAGGTGAAGTGCAATTGAACTTGATGGGGAAACTACTTAAAAAGTGCGGCATGCCAGATGGTCGCGAAAAAATTGATGTTAGATTTATTAGATATAATTTATTCACATCATTGAGAGAAGAACTAGTAGGGCGCATTTGTATGGTATGTAAACCCGTTTTCTGCGCACCTGGAGACGTCGTTTTTTACCAAGGTGACAACGCTGATGGAATGTAAGTGCTTCGAGTGTATCTGCGTAGTTAATAAATTCGAGTATATTTGTCGTGGATAGAAGTAGTAGGCTTTATGAAAAACCCACAAACAGTGCAAACCAAACAGTTATGGATGTTTAGATTTTCGAAACGGTTTTTCCCTGTGAGAGTATTACTATTACGGAACGCTCCTAAAACGCTGGTGTCATTCGATTCACATTGGTATCATGTTAACTTCCGGATTCTGGAAAATTCAAGACATTGTGGTTTACACTGTAGATGTGCCCTAGCGTCATTTGGGAGATGGCATGGTTGGAAATTAGAGGCAATAGTACACGGGATTTCCACCCGTGTTTTCTTCAGCTGAGTTCAGAAGTTTCCTTACGAGTTGGGGTAGAAGTGTAAAGAAACCAACAAAAATTTCCAGAAATTTCCTCAGGATTATGGAAATCCCATTTCCACATTGCTACTTGACCATGTGTGTATTTTCCCCCACTCTGGTGACCGTTTCCCGCTATCATCTCGTTGAAGAAGTTTTCTTTTCATAAGCATTCTAGGCTCACGTACACTATGTCGTAATGAATATCACCAACGGTACTAGTAAGTGTACATATATTTTTCCCTTATTTTAAACCGCAACAACAGGCACTTTGGCATTGTGCGTGCGTGCAGAATTATTCTGAGTGAAGCTCCAGGCTTGCATGGGGCAAATTCAAGCAAGCGTAACAAGTACCGCTCGTGCGTGCATGGCGCACGCCATTGTGATCGACTCGAATCACAAAGTGGTGCAACCGGTCGAGACTCAAGTGACAGCAGTCTGGCTGTCCAGGAGCATCTCGAGCCTGTTCCACCCTGTAATTTTACTTTTACCTTTACTAGTTGTTTGGGGGACATTGCCTATGTACCTGCGTGCTAGGCAATGTGACTGTGGTGTTAATGCACGGCGTGTTGTGAGGTTCGGTATTATCACCGCCCTCTGCTGCCTAGTTGGCTAACACTCAGTCGCACCCAACACTCCCAAATAACTAATGCGATGCGGTTAAGCGTGCCTTGACTTAACTACAAAGCGTAGGAGGCCACCAGATAGAGCAGACGACTCCTCTATATTCTGAGGTTTGCGCGGAAATCGAAACAAGCTGATTTTGTGGACAGCTCAAAGACGCTGGGGGATGGAATAGGCATTGACCAAACCTCAAGTCTGAGGCCTGGAAGGTCTGGGTTCGGCAATACTGACCAGAGAATGAGTCAGCGAACTGATCCGCGAATAATAAGCTACCCGAACATTAGTCACAACAGAGTCAACTACCTCATCTGTGGTCCTCCAGTATCAAGGAGTAACAAGGAAAGAAGAAAAAACTCACTTCTGGGCTGCTCCACTAAAATCCCTACAGCAGCCCTTGAAATGTGCAATGCTTTTATTGCAGCACATTATATTATAATATTATCGCGTATTTATTATTTTCTATATTTCATCCCCCCAAAAATAGATATACCTGTTGTCAGGTATTTTGTTCGCAAAGGAGCTCTCACAGTGATCGCTCTCATCCTGCCTGACCCACCCGTAGGAGTAGAATCGGCACTCAGTAGAGGACGATTGACGAAGTAAATATCTCAACCACGTGTTGGAGGAATATATGTTCGTTTCTAAAGCTGATTATAGTAGTTATACAGAAATCAATGATAATTTCCCGAAATTTGCTCAGAATTTCCAGACTGCCATCAACATTCGCGGTCAGTGTAGAACTATATGTTCGGTTTCCTCGACCGAACTCGTGTAAGTTTCCAAAACTACATTATGGAGATCCACAGAGGATTTCCGGGTAGCAGTGTACAGAAACGAACGAAAATTTCCCCAAATTTCCTCTCAGAATTTATATATTTTGACCATGTAGTTGATATGTAACCATGCAGAACTAGGGAGAAGTTTACACACAGAACAACACATATAGTTGATGATGTGAATATATTCGACAACTTCGGAATATGATGTTTTAACTTGGGTTTGATAACAATGAGGAAAATGCTCCTAATGTGATGACATTCACATGGGAAACCGAACGGAGTTTCACCACCCTAGTGATTTGAAAAACACAAATGAAAAACATATTCCACGACTACTACATATCGCCGCGAATATAGAGTATTACGCCAATTCACGTAAGACGGGTCGGGAAACTCCAATGAAGAATGTGTTCCCAGCCATGTGGAAAACTCGAAATGAGTCTCCCCCCGGGAACATTAAACGGTTCCTGGATGATTCCATGCATATATGTCTACACTGTATGTGGTTGCCAGGTCATGGAGTGGCCTTAGCAATAAACCCTTGAGTCGCTCTAGACGACCGATGCTCTCAGCTGAGTCTAGTGCTACAGCGTTATCAAGTCCATCTACGACAACTAAAGTCAGCAACATTGGACCACAGGAATACGTTGCGGAGCAATCCTTATTTATTGAGGTATGCCACAATAGAATATAGTATAATAATGGAGTTTCACCACCCTAGTGATAAGAGAAACACTAGTGAAAAACATATTTTACGACTACTGCATATCACCGTGAATTTCGCGTTTTACACCACTTCACGTAAAACGGGTGAAACTCCAATATATAAAATATAACCTCTGACACAGATAACGGTGGAGTTTCACGACCCGTTTTAAGTGAAATGGTGTAAAACTCTGTGAAAAACGCGATATTCGCGGTGCATCAGTAGTCGTGAAATACAGTGCGTGCCAATTTGATATGCAAATGTGCGTTATTTTTGGAGGTTAATGAGAATCAATATAAAACCATACCGCATATACAATGTAACAATGCCTATGAACATGTGTTGTGATGAAAGTACCCGTTTGGGAATGCGATGGTAGCGACAACTTGTTCACTATAAATTGTCTTTCAAAATATCACACATTTGCATGTCAAATTGATATGTAGTGTATATTCTTTACTAGTGTTCTTCATATCACTGGTGAAACTCCAATATTATATCCTGGTTAATATCCTCAGAAGTGAAGTTGTTATTGATATATGATCATGTGCAGATGGAACACGACTCGACAGGAGTGTGTAACAGTTTTACAGAGTTGATGTACATCAAACGTGACGATCTTCGTGAGAAAATAATCGCGGCAGCTGATGGGCTCACGCTGTACTTGGAAATGAAGGCGGTTGTTTGTCTAGAGAGGGAACGATTTGAGGTGAGTTAAAATGGTGAGTAATTTTTATCATATTGATCTTGGAAATTCGGCAGGACTCAGTATGAAAATGATCAAAAATAGGTTTTGACAATATTCTGATTGCGACACTAGGCAAGGAATGAGATCTGTATATGAAATTATGTAGAGAAAGAATGGTATAAAAAAGAGTATTCATTATTAATTGGAGTTTTGCTCACTTCAAGTGAAGTGGCGCTATACTCTGTGAAAAAAAAACGAAATTCGCGGTGATATGCAGTAGTCGTGAAATATATATTTCACCAGTGTTTTCCATATCACTAGGGTGGAACTCCATTTTTATTTAGGTTATCTAGTATCGGATAAATAATAGCATTAAACTATTGTAAAAGATAGAGACCAAGTAATTTTTTGTGAAGAAGTTGTTGATTACCGTTGTTGGCAACATATATATTCCGGAAACTTATCGAAATATATGTTTGCTTTACCCAGCTGAGCTCAGAAGTTTACATACGCATTGGGGTAAAAGTGTGCGGAAACAGAATAATAGAGAAGAATAATTTCATCTCAGAATTTTCATGTTGTCACCCCTACATGTAGTTGAGCATGTGCATAAGGTCGCTTGTCACTGTATCTGATCCTTGTTTCAGCCTGAGACACTTAGTTAACGTGAAATGCTAAATTTACGGAAATTTGCCCGAAAAAAATACACTCCTCATTTTCTCACATTGTTGCAGATTCTGTTTAACATGATCGATGACGATGAGATCTCCCCCGATGCTATAGACCATTTAAATAGCAAAGACAGCCTTCTGGTGTTAGCAGTAAGGCGCAACATGAACGACGTTATTGAGTTTTTACTCAACGCGGAAGCCTCTGTGAACATTCACAGTCCTGTAGATCGATGTAAGGTTAAGAAAGGGAAAAGCAGAGTATTATAAATCAGTGGAGTTTCACCGCTTTAGTGATATGAAAAACAGTAGTGAATAAGATCGCGTTTTTCACCGAGTATTACGCCACTTTACGGGTGAAACTCCATAGTACTCTATTTTTTTTCGCACAGGTACACCATTACACATAGCAACGAGGGAAATGAATGTTGAAGTGGTATCAATGCTCATTGCAGCGGGAGCATCGCCGTTGTTTACTGACTCATTTGGGGACAGTCCGATCACGTATTCTAAGGCGAAAATCTTGACGCCAAATTTACGTAGAGGGTCGTTATTGGTACCGGCAGGGACAGGTTGGATATCAGCGTTGAGGAAATGCAAGATTGCAAGATTTGGTTTTTCGTTATTAGGACTGCCGTTTATGCATGATGGGGGCAATCATATGTTACGGAGATCGGCGCCGAAAATTTTCAGAAGGAAGTCTTCTGGGGATGGATCGACGGTTAAAGGCTTGGTTTTAGAGGGTGAGTGGAATTAGGATTTGGAAAAGGAGTGGTATGAGAATATATGTGGGCTTCCCTCAGCTGAGCTCAGGAGTTTCCTCACTAATTATTATACACGAATTTGGGCAGGAGTGCACAACAATGAAGTTTCATCTGTTTTACGTGAAGTGGCGTAAAACTCGGTGAAAAGCGTGATATTCGCGGTGATATGCAGTAGTCGTAGAATATGTTTTTCATATCACTAGGGTGGAGCTCCGATGATCTCCCAAAATTTCCTCAGAATTTTCACCGACACATGTGCGTAATTTTCCAAGCTGAAAAGGAATGGTATGTGAGAATTTCAGGATCGATTGAAATAGATGACGAAGAGCTTCTATCGAGGGCTCAAGAGTTGCGGAATATATTTGCAGTAGCGTTGTGCAAGTGAGCGGAGGTCTCGGGTTCGAATCAAAGGCGTATCTTTCTCGGAGAAATAACGTCCTCCAGGGCTCAATAGCAAAGAGAAAAATGTTACTAATGTGATGACATTTACATGAGCACTCATTGAAGAATGGGGTTTCGCCAGTTTTACGTTTAGTGGCGTGAAACTCTGTGGAAAAGGCGATTTATTCGCGGTGATATGCAGTAGTCGTGAAATATGTCTTCCACTAGTATTTTGCATATCACTAGGGTGGTGAAACTCCCATGTGGAAAATCCAAAACGAACTCCCGGATGATTCCCTGGTTCGAACCCCAGGTGGGACATTTTTCCCTCAGGCACGGCAGATTGTACGAGGAAGATGACGTTGAGGAGGTTATGGAAGGACCGGTGCCTCAGTGAGTGATGAAGGTGAGTGTTCGTGATGTAGGTGTGTTTGTATAGACCTAATTCGCCCAAGCTCTTGAAACGGGGAGCATCGATACGGCTTACACAGCTGACTGAGAAATGGATGCCGGTAAGTTCATTGGAGTTCCACCACCCTAGTGATATGAAAAACACTAGTGAAAAACATATTTGACGACTTTTGTATATCACCGCGAA